TTTGGACATCACTAGTGTTTACTGCTATCAGCGCATTGATCACGTGATCACAGCCTTTCGAATTACATTTGATTTGTACGAATTTGTGTGCATTACTTTTACAAGTTCGTGCAATCAAGTTCTTAGTCAAGACTCAGAAGTCTCAAGTTATGTCCCAGGTCCTGAACTTAGAGTTTCGAGTCCTTCATTCACCATGCAATGCCATTTTAACAACATAGTAACAATATATCCAACTACAAAAATCATCCGTGCTTTTTAAAATGTGTACTTGTTTTTAAAAACAAGTTTGTTGGAAGGTGATGTGTGTCCGGTTGTAATTTTCCGACCTGCACGTTTTACATGTACTGCAATTCATTCTCGTGGGTTTCCTCCAGGTACTCCAGCTTCCTCCCACAGTCCAAAGACATGCAGGTTAATTGGTGACTCTAAATTCCCCGTAGGTGTGAATTTGAGCGTGAATGGTTGTTTGTCTCTATGTGTCAGCCCAGTGATAGTGTGGTGACCTGTCCAGGGTGAACCCTGCCTCTCGCCCAGTGTCAGCTGGGCTTCAAGAGGATAAGTGGTTACGGAAAACGAACATTAGTTGATCCAGGAAGGGAACTGATTTGTGACACACTCTCAAAATAAATGTTTAAATCTTTGTGCTTAGGGGAAGGTATCAAGTACTCTCGTGTCAAACGTTGAAGTCTGAGTGAAGTCTCGAGACTCCAAGACAAGTTTTAAGTCTTTTTTGATTCCGTCAAGTCAAGTATGAGGTCATCAAATCTGTGACTTGGGCCTGACTCCAGTCCAAGTCATGTGACTCAAATCCACACCACTAAAACAACATATTTAACCATTTAATACCGAGAGGAAATTATACTCTTTCCATCAATCTGTTTGCAAATTTCCTTATTTTTGGGAGTTGCATTTTTGGGGCAAAAGTGTCAGCACATCAACAGCACATTTAAAATTTAAGAATTTTTAGTCTGCCTACTGACTTTTTTTTTTCCAATATAATGTACTTCATTATATAACTTTTCCAATTTGAGCACACTACAGACTCGAAATCTGCACAGAAACAGTTTGTAGTGAGGATTTTGGGCCACAGCTAAATGGTACATTAGCAACATTAGCATACACACACCTCATACAACACTGTAACATCTCTGTTAATATGACCTCATAGGTCATTTGTACAAGCATCATATTATGACGCATACTTGTGTTATTGTTAGGTGTGACGTCTAGTGGCTGTGCTAATTATAACGAAGCCAAAGGATAAATTCAGGCGGTGGGTGGGTCAAAAAAATGAGGACTTTCACCCACGAGACCGCTGTTCATGTCCCATGTGAAACCAAAAGTCAGCATTTACTTATTTTAACTGAGGAGCATAGAAGCACAAGTGATGGAACTTTGTTGCTTGTTTGAAAGGGTGCCATTTTAGACTGAAAACACCAATGGGACAACAGCATAGACCCGACAGAGACGCCATTAAAATGAATATTATTGAGTTGTTTGGAAAAATGGTTGTCCACAGAACACTAGGCTCTCCTCAGGGGGCTGCAGGAAGTTCCTGCAAAAGGACAAGATTAATTTTACTGATAGTCTTTTAGTGCAGTGACTTCCAAGAAATCGATCTTCCTGGAGGGGATTCTTTCAGACAGAATCTTAATAAAACATCTCTTGTTAACTTTTTGCTTGCAGGGCTTTTGTTGTGTGGTTGTAAAGCTCAGCACTTGTGTGTCTCTCCTCTGAGCAGGGCGGTGAAACACCACGTGCCGTAGAGGGCAGCAAAACGCAACTCTCACACTGAGCTGAATGAAACGAGGGCTCAAAACATCAGTTAATACCTTGTATAAAGAGTCTCATACAGCATTTCTGCTGTCACTTTCAGTGTGAGATGTTTCACCGTGAGCAGGGCTTAGCCACCGATCTTACATAGAGTTCAGCAGAGTGGAGGACTCCTACTGTTCTCGACTAAACCCGTCCGTTTGACAGCTAAATCTTTGGTTGTTATGGCAGTGAACCTCTACAAACAGGATGAACGTGCAGAGCATGATGGAGACGAACAAAGATTTTTGGCTCCAGAGCTCTGGTTTTCCCACATCTCTCACTGAACATGCAGCAGACTGCAGGGTAACAAAGGAGCTGCACAGGTGCAGCTGATTCCACTGATTGCAGCAGCAGAGCAGAGGAGACACTCAACCTATCCCCCTCCTTCTCACACTCCACACTGATCTCTTACCTGGCTTTTCCACAATGCAAATGACTTCAGTACATGCACAGATGAACAAAAATACCTGATAAACTCAAGAAATACCAAACACAAGCCAAACTTAGCAGAATATCTCTCTGCCCTGATTCTTCCACTCAGCCTAACGAGGTAATTGACAGCTGCTGCAGTCCTGTGGCTGCATGTGTGCACTACATGAAAACAGCAAAGCCTACTAAATAATAGAGAGGCCTTTTTTTGTTTCTTTTTTGGGTGAGAAACCTGAATAAATCCAGCTGTTTGAAGGATAAATTTGTTGATGTTTTCACGCACTATAAAATAGATATTAGAGAGGGGAATTATGGTGTATCATTTATAGTGAAAAGGCTTTTTACTTGTTTTTTTTAGATGTTTTCAATGGGAAAGAAGGTTATGTTAAAGGTTGTTTCATAAATGGGTATTATTGAATTTATGCTCATTCACAGGAAGTGTAATGAAGGACTTTAAATCTGTTCATTTTTTATTTTTTATAGTGTAGATTTCTGTGTTTCCTGGCACATAAGAAGAATAAATGACAAAAAACTAAAGAAACACCAATATAAAAACAATGGTATCAGCTATCAGTGCATCCCCACTTCAATGAGAAAGTGAATTTGTATTAATTATTATTATTTTACAATACCACACATTACTATTGTTTATTCTTCCCAACAAGTTAATTATCTAGGTTGTATATTTGCATTTTGGTAATAAATGTGTAGTACTATCATGCATGTGTTGTCTCGACACATACGGAGACTTGACATTGACCAACATCAAGCAGTCATCATTGCATGTCTGAAAAGAAAAAAAAAAAATCAGAGAAAGTAAGAAATGGATCATTTCATTGAATATTTTTTATAGTGTATTTATAGATTTTATAAAATAAACAGAATTTTGGTTTTTCCTTTTTGAGGACATGTATAGCAAATGACACATTTTTTAAATTAATACTATTATTTTTTTTTTTTTTACAATTTATTTATGAACACAGGTATATTTCTAAGGTGGGAATCTGATTCACTTACAGGGGCCCCTCCACCCCAATGGCACTGCCTGCACTGTCTATATTTACGCCCCTGGAGCTGAGGCAAACAATGTTTTTTTAACGGGGGCTCAAAGAGGACACCAAATGTCCTTAAACTGCTACTGCACGGAAGTGTCCCCTTTGCCGTAGCCTGATGTGCACCTTTCCAAAAGTGTACGCCTAACTACGTTGTCACACCGACACAAACTTCTTGTGTAAATATGTAAGGTGAAAAACATTTCCTTATTTACTTCCTTTATTTACTTTTATTTCACAGATTAGATAAGACCCCCGGAAAACGGCATCTTAAGTCGCGTATGATTTATCCTGGCTTCATGTGAGTGAAGAAAAATGCTGCTAGCGGCTAGGCTAATTTATGCAATGTAGAAATGTCTTGGGCCTGTGCTAATAATGCTAGCGTGTTGTATTTGTCGGGAATACATGTTGTTTCGGTTCTGTTTCTGTTTCGGTTCAATGCCGGAAGTTGCACACAGAATTCACGCAAGGGATCATGGGGGCTAGGAATGAGGTCGTCTCTTACACGCTGGCTGACTCTGTTATCTGTGGACATTCCCATAGGAAAGTTGTAATAGAGCTAGCGCTGGCTCCCAGCGGCAGTGTTGTGATTGGATTCAAATCCGTGTACTTCCGTACTTCCTTGACCAACGGATGATTAGCTTTGCCTTACACCCGCCTACACTGGAATTGCTGTTCCTCGAATTGTTGTCCGTAGTACAACAGAAAGACGAATGTCCCCAGAATCCCATTCCAAAGTAAGGCAGACTGGTCATGCGAGACTAGGAATGAGGTGGATGAATCCGGCATTAGAGGGAAGGAACAAACAACTTACTTGGTCATATACGTTGGAGGACTTGTTGGACTTACAATAAGTACATTTAACCTCCAAAGGAAGAGATGGAAGTTTACATCCATAACACCCACATGCACACACTCATCTATTACCCAGTAACACACACACACCCGCACTGTTGCTTAAAGAGAGGCACAAGTTCATCGGTGGTCCCCAACATGCAATGCATGATTCAAAATGAGTTCCTCCTCTTGTGTATTCAGATACACACCCCCACAGATACACAAACACTCAGTGTGTCTGCTCCAAGGTTGTTGTCTAGCCTTCACTCCCCCTCACCCTTCGAAAGTTAATGAAATCGCTCCCGCAAAGTCACCAGATGATGCAGCTCTGTTGTAAACTACAGAGAAAAAGAACTCCCTGGAGCACGACTGAATATTAAGAAAACGCGACAACAAACCTGGAAACGTGTCGTTGGTGTATAAATGGCACGGACAGTTTTGTTCAAATTCAGAGTCACCTCCGAACGCATTAGCTCTGAACAGAGTGAGCAGCGAAATAAAATAAAGGCTTTGACTTTTGGAGTAATGACTCTCTTAGAGGTGCTCAGTGAATCTAATGGACAGTTACATTGTTGAAATGTATCACCGTGCTGCTTTGAAATGATCTGAAGGAAAAACACATTTACAGAGTCGCATGAAAACCTGTTTTACACGCGGTCATTATGTTTTAAATAGTGATGATGGTGAATGAAATGAAGTTTGTTTTCTGTTCCCATTAATGCATGTTTACAATGCTCAATGGATTTGGAGAGAGTAACCATTATAATTCTCTGGCCTTATCCCCGGGTCTGTAAGGGCACATAAAAGAGTTTGATACTTCTATCACATCTTGACTTTCATCTCTTCTTTTCTCTTTTCGTCTTCCAGGGATCCAAACCAACCAGTTCCACAGGATACAAAGTTCATCCACACGAAACCCAACCGATTTGAGGAGGTAGCCTGGACCAAGTACAACCCCAAAGACCAGCTCTACCTTCACATCGGCCTCAAACCTCGAGTCCGAGACCACTACCGCGCTACAAAGGTCGCCTTCTGGTTGGAACTAGTTCCACATCTCCACAACATCAATGAATTTTTTCAGTACGTATCCACCACCACCAAAATACCTCCGCAGGACACCACCCCCTACCCTTACACCAAACGATTCCCTGGAAAAAACAACTGGCCGTCCACCACCCGCCACCCAGGAGTCCCGCCCGCCAACACCAAACAGACCACAGACCAGCGCAAGAGTGGCGACCTGACCGACGAGTCCACCGTGGTGATCGAGACCAAGAGGGACTACTCCACCGAGCTCAGCGTCACCATCGCAGTCGGAGCCTCCCTGCTCTTCCTCAACATCCTCGCCTTCGCCGCACTCTACTACAAAAAAGACAAGCGGAGGCACGAGTCCAACCGCCGCGTCCCCACCCCGCAGCGCAACTCCACTCCCGCCAACGCGCCCTCCGCTGCCAACGACGTGGCCCACCTGCAGAGCGAGGAGCTGATGTCACTGCAGATGAAGCAGCAGCAGCTGGAGCACGAGCACCACCACGAGTGCGAGTCGCTGCAGACCCATGACACGCTGCGCCTCACCTGCCCGCCTGACTATACCCTTACCCTGCGGCGCTCGCCCGATGACATACCCCTGATGACGCCTAGCACCATCACCATGATCCCCAACTCACTGGCTGGCATGCAGCCTCTGCACAACTTCAATACTTTCGGTGGCAGCCAGAACAGTACCAACTTACCCCACGGCCACTCCACCACACGGGTATAGCTCCACTGGGATGGGACGGTGCTGGATTCCCTCTGGATCGGCCTCTAACCTCTCAAGGCATGCGATATGAGTGACGGACTGTGTGAAGCACAGACTCAGAAGATGTTATTTTGCTACCATGCCTTCTTGAAAAGCGTATACAGTATAAATTAATAATGAACTCGTGACAATATTCAAAGTGAATGTTACTGTAGTAATAACTCGACTTGGAGCTAAGCTTCACGGGAGGTTTGCAAGGAGTTTTACCAAAAGAAAAGGCAACGGGATGACTATCAATGTTCTTACAATAAAAACAGAACAGTTTAAGTGTGACAGAGAAGCTCTGTGACATGAGCGCAGAACAATTGAACGTCTGAAACATAATCTTTTCATGATCCTTCATGCATCAGAGACCTGACGTGGGCACAGAATTCTACACCCCAGCCTGAAATGTATTTAAGAAAACTTTGTAAGAAAATAAAAAATAAAAAATAAATTAAAAAAAAGACAAAAGAAAGAAGGACAGAAGGTATATAGTTGTGTGTGGAAATTTAAAATATAAAAAAAAAAAATATGTTAAAAGAGCTCCTTCTATTATTGTTTTTACTTTGGCTGAGATCTTTTGGGTTTTTCCGGCTTGTGTTTTCTGTTCAGGTGCATGTAAATATCGACAAACATTCTTCATTCTTCCGATCACAACCTGTGTTTCATTATTTTTTTTTTTTTTTTCACAGAACGACCAAAATGCGAACACAATCCCATCGTCGGAGAGTTGCACAACGTGCATCCGCAGGCCATCACATACAATACTGTCTCGTGCGTTGCTTTGTTTCCACTCTTTAGACACTGCATGTCCAGGAAGAGCTTTACTCTCCATTTTCAGACACGTCACCTGTCTGAGAATGAGGACTGACTTGATCCCATTCACCTGCCGTCATCCTGTTATGCTTCTAATAGTTTTCTTTGTGGGCTTTTTTCTGTCTTGCAACCTCAGCACTGCCTGAGCTTACAATGTGACCAGCAATGTATTATTTAGAAATAAAAAAAGGCAGTGATTTTTTTTGTATCAATATTAGTTGGATATGTTTGTAAAGAAATATATGTTAGATATTTCAAATTGTCATATGCTAGCAATATGTAAAGTATTGTGCCAGGCTTGTGATATTTTGGGTTACAAAAGCAAGTGAATGAGTGTAAATATTAATGATATTATTATGAAATTACAACAAAAGTAACCATTAACTCTCTTTCCGTTTTGCATCCTATTACGAGAAAAAAAAAAAATGGAAGTACACCTAGAAGATTTTAAGCTACATTTGTAAATTCTATAAAAGATATATTCTTGCCATTTGGTCCCGAAAACCAGTCAAGATAACAAGGGTTTTAATGTAGAGTTTCAAAAATCTTTAGTTTGTCTTATTTTGTTTGCGGTTTTGCCTTAAGTGATAATAGAGATATTTCTGGCTGGACACCTGTATAAACTTTTTCTGCAACATTTTTAATAAAATATCACAGTATTTTCTAAAAAAAAAAAAGAGAAAAAAACATGGAAGGTTTACTTAATTGGTTGGTTGTGTGGGTCGTGAGTGCAGATGTGATCGAATGTCTGTGACTGATGGTTTGAGAATACTTTGTTTAATTTTAATTTAACTATTCAATTGTTGTGTTTTTGTTCCCTTAGAATTATGGGTTTATATCGACATATGAGCTGGTCCCCTTCTACGGAGTCTGCCATGTTTCTACAGTGGCCCTGAATGGACAAACCAAACACTGGCTCCACATAGGACCATTTGTGTTTTTGCACCATAGTTCTCCTACACACTTTGCACATGGAAAACTCTCAGTTTTAGATGCCACTAAATCCTAGTGATGGCCAAATGAAGCTTCATGAACCATTTACTTTATTTTTTGGGTCCACTCTGGTACTCTGTGTTCAACAAAGGGTTGAAACCAAACTGCATTGCCATCCCTTGAACCTTTTTCATTACACCAAAAGCGCCATCTAAAGCATTTGTAGCACAACTAGCCACAACTTCAGCATCTCGCCGTCCGACAAAGGCAGCCTATGAAAGCTGTACGGGGTGTTGCGTGACATCCTATACTTGTAATTCGGATAAGCACAAACACGAACCATTGTTTTCAATTGATGCAGTAAAACTCTCAGCTGTACTCTGGGACAACCAGCGCCACTCTGAGCGTCGCTCAGCATGGCTCCTCTGTTTTCTTCTGGCAACAAGCAAAGCTCTCATGAGATGACGTCAGCCCAGAGGTAAGGGAAACGCTTAGTATGCTATCTACAGAGATAGCACTGGCGATCTGAACCGGTCAGTGGCGAAAAAAAGCACTTTTAATGCACAAACTTATATGGGACGCATTTGCCCCCGTTACTGTTTTAGCTTGTTTCGCGGCTGCCGGCTGCATCCACCCCGTCAATACTGAACCAATTTCAGAACGAGTTGTACCTATGAATCATACGCACACATACACATAGGGAAATAGGGCCCAGGTTGAAAAATACCGACGTTATCCTTTAATAACTCAGGAACAGGAGGAGACACATTTGCTCAAACTGAATAAGTGACAATCTTGGGTGCCCATCTTGAAACTGTGCTGACTGTATTGATCTTCTGTGCTGTCGGGTTGAAGATGTGTGTGAAGCATCCATGTAGAATATTAAGCATCCATCCATTAACATCCATATGAGTCTGGACAGACATGGATGTAAACTGTGCCTGCAATTTGACTAGCTGGCAGAGGCATACAACTTAATTCTTTATTTTTTTTTAAATCCGTTCTTGAAAGTCCATTTTATGATATTTTTGGTAAACTTTCTCCCAGTTTTTAAAATGTCATACTCACCACTCTGCTGCTCTTAGTTTCTCGTTTTAATAAAGATCCCTTACAAATTATTTTCAATAGCTTTATTGTCCTTTCAATTACTGCTCAGTTCCTGTCAGTGAAGCCCAAAACTGGTCAGTAATACCACAAAGAAATAAAAGGAGGGAACCAATGAATGTAGAAAAGTAGTCATTGTGCATTAATAGGCCCTCAGACATTTAATGACTCAAAGAACACACACATAAAAAATGAACAGACTAGCCTATTAGCTAAATCAAAGATCAGTGTGCAAATAGTAATTTCAAAGTCTGGGTGTAGATCACCCCATGTAAAGATGCGAAAAACAGAAAAACAAAAAAGCCTTACAGATTATAATGGCACCGAGGTTACACAGAACTCCAATAAAAAAGGAAAGACTTTTTAATACAGTGTTAATACAGAGTCAGAGTCATCATACCTCATCATGCATTAGTATTAAGTAGTAATGTCCAAATGAAGCTTCATCCCTTGCACCGCATTGCCATCCCTTGAGCCTTTTTTTCATTACACCAAGAGCACTATCTAGTGGGTTCTGCAAATACAACTGGTGGTGCATGAAGCTTCGTTTGGCCATCACTAGTTGAAACCAAACTGCTTTGCCATCCCTTGAGCCTTTTTCATAATACCAAAAGCGCCATCTAGTAGGTTCAGCAAATACAACTGGTGCTTAATGAAGCTTCATTTGGCCATCACTAGTTGACACCAAACTGCACTGCCATCCCTTGAGCCTTATCCATTACACCAAGAGCGCCATCTAGTGGGTTCAGCAAATACAACTGGTGGTTCATGAAGCTTCGTTTGGCCATCACTAGTTGAAACCAAACTGCTTTGCCATCCTTTGAGCTGGATGATGAGGATGAGATGAGGGGGAACAACAATCCAAAACATGCTGCAAAGGAGACTGTTGGTTCCAGAGGAAGAAAATAAAAGTTTTAGAGTGACCCAGTCAGTCATCAGACTTAAAGAACATTTGTGGAAGAAGCTGAAGATGAACATTCACCAACTTCAAGATTTAAAGAATATGTTGAGGAATGGGCAAAAAACCCAATAAAAAGTCTTCAGGCTGCTGTGAAATTGCACCAATTTGGGGCAACAAAGTAGCAACAATCCAAACTGTATTGCCATCCCTTGAGCCTTTTTCATTACACCAAGAGCGCCATCTAGTGGGTTCAGCAAACACAACTGGTGGTTCATGAAGCTTCATTTGGACATCACTAGTATTAAGCAATATGACAAGATGATTGATTTAATATCATATTTATAAAACGACTAACGGAGCCACGAGTATGTGGTAGATGGTGTGCAATTAATTGCCGAGCTAAGGCCAGTGCCAGCAACACAAGAATATCAAATTTCAGTAGAGCAGGTCACGCTGTGCTTGTTTACTAGGAAGTTCATGTGTTTTTTTTTGGGTTGATGAGAGCAGACAAGGTAGAGATAGTATCTTTGGAAAACTGCGCCAGTATGACAACATTTTGGATTTGAGCCGTTTTGAGCTAAACTTTTACCGGACGCCATGTTTCAATCTGTCGGTAGCTTTGAGAGTGCCGCATTGAGGAACAGCTGATTCATAAAGTTGCAGTGAAGAATTGTCCACAAAATGCCATCTTATTTAACTCCAAAACCTTGACCTTTGACCACCAACATCAATCAGTTCATTCGTGAGTTCAAGTGGGCATGTGTCAAATTGAAAAAGAAAAATCCCATTCTTGAGATATCCTGTTCACAAGAATGGGACGGATGGGCAACTCGAAAATGATATGGTAAAATGAAAAAGTTTCTCATTATAACAATTGCCTCTATGGCAGCAACATTCTGCCATAGAGCTAAATATCCACCTGGTTTGCAACTGTTAAAGGAGGATTAGTTCAATTGACTTGACAATTTACAATATAACAAACATCATGTGTTGGATATTGTTCAGGGTTATTGTTTGCATTACAGCTTCTTTATGACACAATGAAAACTCCCATTTTCAAAGCCGGTAGATTGACTCTTGTTGCAGCGATGCAGCCGCGTAGTGCTTATTGAGTTCGACTCAATCAATACCGGCAATCTAGCACTTGAAACTTTTGAAACAATCGCATCTGCAAACAGCTTGGGCTCTGCCAGCTAAGCTAAATTCTCTGACTATTTCGGCCTTTGTGAATTGCTGTTGTGCTCCGTAAGGGAAAACAAGACTTCTGAGCTGAATAGCAAAGAGTGTTGCTGCCGTGGTTACAAACCTCCCCGGGGTCTCGCGTCCAGGCTCTCAGCATCCTGTATTCAGTAAAACTGTCTCGAAATCGCCCTCCCCGCTGCTGCCACATTACCTGCCTTCTCACTATTCAATCTATCGATCCCCTTTGCAACAAGCCAAGCAAATTAGCTTTTGACTTAAAACTGAAGTGACAGGGGGAAAATTGAAATCTTTAATAGTAATCTGCAGTTACTGAGGCGTAGTGGATGTCTCCATACAGTCTCCTGTGACATTTGCAAAAGCTTCCCCATAAGTAAAGTCCGATGTGTAAAAATCTTTTCATGAGACGGAGAAAACTTTTCATTAGCAAAATTGTTTGATCCATAATAAATGATCCACTAAACAAGCCTTATACATAGCGAGATGAATATTTATTTTGAGACTTGTGTGCAAACAAAGCAGCGCAAATGTGCAGGCACCCTTTTAATTAGCATGTTGTTTATGCTTAGGGTAATGCGGTGGAGGTTGGGGGGGTGAGTGATGCAGGGAGAATGGTGGTAATGGGGAGGGGGGCTGAATGTGAATACTGGGGACTCGACTGGAAGTTAATTAAGCTGGCAACAGCGCTCCATCACTCAACCACGGTCCCAGAGCTGTCATTCAAGTGCACCACTCTCCAGGCAGCCATTACTGAGGCATATCGATCGCCACGGTGACAAGGTAGTGCACCAAATGGGAGTGGGCAGAGATGTAGGTTGTGTGTGTATGTGAGTGTGTGTGTGTAGGGGGGGTTGTGGTGTGGGAAAGAGAGGTAAGGTGTTTCTGTGTGCTGTGAACGCCACACAAAACCCTGCTGTGACCAGCTGCAGAGAGAGCCGCTGCTGTGTTCCTCCAAACATGAATTAAAATGCAGGTAAATACCTCAGCAGCAAAGCTAGTTGATTGCATTTCCCTCCCTGGGTAGCTGGAGCCTTAATAGATGAATATGAAATCTTCAGAGTCAATATATATGCAGTTAAGTGGTGAGAAACCAATGTAGCAGTAATGGCCTCCAGAAATCCCCCTCAACATCTTTAACTTTGGGAAAATATTGTTCTCAACTCACATTCAGCCTCCCCAACAGTTTTCTCATCAGCCGCAGCACAGAGTACCTGACGTGAGGAATTTTCCACATCACTTGTTGTAAATGTTAATGTGTGACTCAGCTCTTGATGACAGCAAAGGATCATGGGACTTGAAATTCCCTGCCACAACATGGACCTACAAAACATATCTAAAAATGGCTGCCTGGTGTTGAAGAAATACATCTCCCCCAAAATGGTAATTTGCATATCAATTACTCATCTTGGGTTACGCCAAATTTGGAAAGAAAACTTTGTTATTCTCATAAACGAAGAATCCAGAAAACAAAAAGATAAAGATATGCTAAAAGATAAAAAAAGAAGGTTCTTGCTAAAATGGGAAGACATTTGTACAAGCTGCAAATCAT